GGACCAGCGGCCCCCCACCCTGCCCTTCCTAGTGTTACCCTCACAGGACTCCAAGACCCCGAGTGCTGACCCTCACAGCCCTCAGCAGACCCCACCACCCAGCCTGGTGGCTGCTCTCAGGTCCTTAGAATGCCCTGCTCCCTGTTTACACCAAACCCCAGAGTGTGGCCTAGGGTGTACTGACTCCCTTTTATCTATTTACTTATCGAGATGGAGTCCCAGGCTGGACTGCAGTTGTGCAATCTTAGCTCACGGCAACCTCTGCCTCCTGGGTGTAAGCAATTCTCCTGCCTCAGCCTCCCGAGTAGCTGGGAATGCAGGCGTGCACCACCACATCCAGCTAATTTTGGGCATGTTTTGGCAAAATCAGGTGACACACACTGTAATCCCAGCTACTTGGGAGGCTGAGGCAGGAGAATAATTTTTGTATTTTTAGTAGAGAGGGATTTTACCCGTTGGCCAGGCTGATCTCAAACTTCCAACCTCAAATGATCCACCCACCTTGGGCTTCCAGAGTGCTGGAATTACAGGTGTGTGCCACCACACCCATCCTGCTGGCTCCCTTTTAAAAATGACTCTGTCCCTGCCCCTTCACTGATCTGTGTCCCCTCGGAGTCCTGGGGGCTGGTTCTGTTGGGGGAGAGCTTGGGGAAGACTGGCACTGGCTTCCACCTCATCCGTGAGTGCTAGGCCTTCCCCACCCCCGGGCCGTGCTGCCTGCTGGCACTGGAACAAAGCTAATGCAGGCCTTGAGGCCAGGCTGTGGCCCTGCCCCTGGGCTCAGGAGCTGCACAGTGGCCGTGCAGGCTGGGTTGACTGGTGGCCTCTTGCAGACATAGTGTGCATGGACCGTGTGGAGGAGATCCTCAAGCTGGTGGCTACAGAGCACCCTCCTTCCAGGGACAACAAGTGGGTGGTCCAGAAGTACATCGAGACACCAATGCTCATCTACAACACCAAGTTTGACATCAGGCAGTGGTTCCTCGTCACGGACTGGAACGCCCTGACCATCTGCTTCTACAAGGAGAGTTACCTGCAGTTCTCAACACAGCGCTTCTCCCTGGACAATCTGGACAGGTCAGTGCAGAGGGCGAGCTGGACACCTCAGGCCAAGAAATGGGCTGCTGTCCTCACCCGTGGAGCAGCCAAAGTGAGAAGCGGTCCCAGCAGGGCCCCCTCACTGCCACCTGCCACCACAAGAGGCACAAGTGGGGAAACTGAGGCTTTGGAGGCTGATGACCTCCTCCTGGGACAGGCTTAGGCCCACCAGCCTTCAAAGCCAGTGCCCTACGCCCCACGCTCTGTGCATCTTCTCTGGAAAATCTTAAAAGGCACCATTTTGCCTGTGCCTGCAGGTATCAGAATGGCGTGGACAGCACCTGCACCCCAGTGCAGGGCAAGTGATGTGTGGGGTGCCTGGCGGAGGCTCAGACATCTGTGAGCCCAGGGTGGAGAGACCCCTGCCTCACCCAGTCCCTCATGGACAGGATGGCAAGAGCTGATGGTGTCCTCGGGAGCGTGCTGTCCACACGGCGACGTCTGCCAGCCTTTGCGCCAGGCTTCCTTCTGACTGTTGTGTAACCCTCGCTTGGTGTGAGGGGCTGGGGGACCTGATGGCTGGGCAGGAGTAGGGGCTGCTTTACAAGGGAGTGACAATCCAGGGAGGCCCGAGAGTCACTTAACAGAGACCTTGCAGGGTGTTCAACTCTGGCCCAGGCTGGGGGCTGCGGTCATGCTGGATGTTGTGCTGGAAGTCACACCCAGAAGAGGGCCTGGGAGGAGCTGGCCTGGGGCCTTGACTCTCACCTGCCCGCTGTCTCTGGTCAAGTGTGCCTGGAGGGGGTCCAGGAACTCACCAGCGCAAAAGCAGCTCCTGCGCAGTGGGAAGCCAGGGCCCCTTCCAGCCCCTGTCCCTAGGCCTCCAGCCGAGAGCCGTGTGCCGTGTGCCATGTGCCTGGCCAATCTCAGGGCCTCTCTGAGCCACTTCTCCATCATCTGAGACATAAACATGCATCCGAGTGATGGGAGAGTCCCTGACATTGGGTCAGATGCATACTGACAAAAATTAAAGAAACGGGTTAAATGTTAGCCCTGCAGGTCTGATCCCTGATGAGCTATTTTTGCTAAAACACTCTTCTACGTGCCTGCCTCTTCTTTCTTTTCATTCAGTGGAAATAGAACTTTAACATACAGTCATGGGCGGTCTCATCTCCCCCCACCAACGAACAAGGTGGAAAATTCCTGGCCCAACACACCTACAATGGAAGTGAAAATGCTTTTGACATACATACAGCATAGTGCAATCTCCTAAACCATGTTAGTAGTTTTAAATCCTGTTTAGAAATAGGGCAAGAGTATAGCTAAATTACTGACAATTTTAGGTAGGTGACTGTTTCTCACCCTGTGTCACCAGCATCCCTCTGGCCACATGCAGTGGGGAAACTGAGGTGCAGGGAGGCTCTTACTTGCCAGCAGCACCTAGTTGGGGGCCCTGGGCTGGTAGGCTTCTGCCCTGCCCCCAAGTGCATTCCATGGCATCTGCCCACTGGACTGAGGGTTGGTTGTCCTGGGCTGTGTCAGCTGGGGAGCCAGGAGAGTCCCCCGAGCCGGTCTGGGTTCCTCTGGCAGGGCGTGGGAGTCCTTGGGGACGAGATTCTCTAGAACCAGCTGAGTGGGTGCAGCACGGTTGGGAGGACCCATCTTGGGCGCCTTCCTGGGCTGGAGACTGAGGACCTGCCCCTCGACCCCCGCCCCCACCCCACGCAGCGCCATCCACTTGTGCAACAACGCCATCCAGAAGCACCCGAAGAATGACGCGGGCCGCAGCCCTCTGCTGCCAGCACACAACATGTGGACCAGCGTCAGGTTCCAGGAGTACCTGCAGCACCAGGGCCACGGCGCCACGTGGGGCAGCGTCATCTACCCGTCCATAAAGGTGCCCATCACCCACATCATGATGGTGGCGCAGGACACGTGGAGCCTCGTAAGAACAACTTTGAGCTCTACGTGGCTGACTTCGTGCTCGGGAGGGACTTCAGGCCCTGGCTGATCGAGATCAACTCCAGCCCCACCATGCACCCGTCCACGCCCATCACGGCCCAGCTGTGTGCAAAGGTGCAAGAGGATGCCATCAAGGTGGCCGTGGACGGCAGCTGTGACATCGGCAACTCCGATCTCCTGTGGAGGCAGGTGAGCCTTGCCCGCCCCTGCCCGGGTGGTGGGTACCATCCTCTGGGGGGTTTGGTGGCAGACCCCGTGTGTACGCTTTGCCACCTGATTACTCAGTGAGGGTGGAGCCACAGGCCGCCAGCCCCAGAGGGTCCATGGAGGATGCTGATCCCACTCCAGGACTCTCGCTCCGTGATCCAGGCCTGCCCTGCCCTCCCGTGGGACTCGGTGCCTCATTGGCACTGAGGAAGGGGCTGCTACAGGCGTCTGGGTGTGCGGTGCAGCCTTGCTCGCTCGGCTCAGGGCTCTGTCCAGCTTTCTTCCCTCGTTCCCAGCCCCACCCAGCCCTGACTGATGTTGGAGATGGGGGCTCCATGCTGGCAGCCTCCAGGCCCACTGTGCTGCTCCTTCCCTTTGGCCTGCAGTGTCTTCCACTCCGAGGATCTTTTGGGGGCCTCCTTCTCCCCTTGGTACCTTCCTAGGGGGTGAGGCCTGTGCCTGGAGACGTGTTGGAGCCATTGGGAAGTGTGGTCGATGCCTCTCTCTTGAGGCCTCTTTGTGGCTAAACTGGAGAAAAGGGCAACCCAGTCCTTGGGTGTGGGGTCCTCTAGATTGCCCCTCAAGCCTCAGGAAGTCTGGGCTCCCCGCAGGCTCTACAGAGCCTGGGAGCCTCCTGAGGGTCTGCATGGGACCCCAGGTGTACACTCCTGAGTCGGGCAGGGGTCTGTGCCCTGACCAACCCCTCCTGCATAGACTCCACCATCCTGGCCACATCCCAGCAACCCCAGCCTGTGCCTTCCCCTCAGCCTGTGGTCAAGCTGCCCCTATTCAGTGGGTCTGACCTCTGTGTGGCGGGCATTGGTATGAGGAGGGTAAGAAGGCAGGTGCTGCCCGTCTGCAACCTCAAGGCCTCAGCCTCACTGTGGGATGCACAGCTGCTGAAGGCACAGTGCCCCCTCCCCATGCTGGACCCCACCCAGGGACCCATACAACTGGCTCTCCAGCGAGACCTGGGACTCCCTCTGGCCTTGCCGGCACCCCTAAAAAGGCCAGCTGAGAGCAGCAGAGCCACACAGCCCACCCACACCAAGGCTTCCAGGAAGGTGGAGCTCCCTGCCTGCCTTTGCCGCCATGTGGACAGTCAGGCCCTGAACACCTGTGACCCCAAAGCCCAGCCTACCAGATACTCAGATCCAAACCTGTTTAATGTGCACCCCTGGCGCCTGTGCTGCAGGGCCTGAAGACAGGAGGGCACCCTGCATCTGCCACCCGGAGCCCCAGGTAACGCGGGGGTGTGGGGGCCACCTGCTCCATCACCAACCCTCTCTCACCAGCAGCCACTGCGCCCTCCAGGATAGGGTGCAAAGCAGGCTTCGATGCTGGGGCCCGGGTGTCCCCTGATGGAGGTGCGGGTGTGAGCTTGGGAGGGGGTTTGAGGCATGTGGCACCTGTTCCAGCCCCGCATGGGTATCTGGGGGGTGGAGTGGGAGTGCTGGCCAGGTGGATAGTGGGGTCCACTTTGTAGAACCTGGAGGGTGATGCCTTTCTCAATACCTCTGGGGTGCGGTGCAGGTTGGGAGGATTTGTGTTCAGGCCTTGAACTGCGCCATGAACAGCACAAACTCCCTGGCTGAGCGAGGTGGTGTAAGTGACCACTGAGCTTTTGTGTCTGGTTTTCCGAAGGCTCTGAGGGGCTGAGGTTACAGGTGGAGCCACCACGCCTGGCTCCTATCGGGCTCTTCTGAGCCCTGGCTAAACCTTCAGAATCAAGGGGCTGCCACTGGCTGCTCTTGGCCTCAGAGTAGCTGAGAAGGTTGTGGGGCTGGGATGAGGCTGGCCAGCAGGCAGCTTCACCTGTTCCTCCCGCTCAAGGGTTTTAATGAGAGCATGATGGGGTCTTTAGGAGGCCGTGGTGGGGTCTCTAGGAGGGCGTGGCAGGGTCTCTACGAGGGCACGGCGGGGTCTCTACGAGGGTGTGGCGGGCCCTTTACAAGGGCATGATGGGGTCTTTACAAGGGGTCTCCAGGACAGCACGCAGGTGTTGCCACCTCCTGATTCCCACTGAGGTTCAGGGGCTGGGACTCCACTCACGAGATGCCACCTGTCCCACAGGAGGCTAAGTCCCTCCTGCAGCTCTAAGGTGCCAGTGTGCCCAGATGGCCTGCACCAGCTGCAGCCTCTCATGGGGACAGAAACACCCTCAGCCTCGACACTCCTACCTCCTTACTAACCTGTACAGCCACTGACTTGCCCTGGGACTCTGGGGGGCTGCCCCAGCTGCTGGCCCTCATCTGCAGGCACTGCCCTGTGCCTACCACCCACTTGGTCTGGCCCAGCTCAGCACCAGGCATCTGAACCTGAGCCCAGGCACAGCAGCGCAGGAGGAGTCGGGGTGGGAGCTGCTCTTCTTCAAATCCCCCGGCTGGTTGGGTCCTTCTAGGCAGGACTCACCTCGAGGAGGGCTGGGAGAGGCAGAGCTGGACTCCCCCTCTGGGGTGAGGGGCCAGGTGGAGGGGCATTAGGCAGGGTGAGGTAGGGGACCTCCCCATACACAGAGCCTTCACCCAGAGGCGCTATGCCCCACGCCGACCCCCTGCCCATGTTTTTACTTTTTATTTGAGAAATAGTTTTGCTCTTATTGCCCAGGCTGCAGTGCAATGGTGTGATATCAGCTCACTGCCACCTCTGCCTCTGGAGTTCAAGCGATTCTCCTGCCTCAGACTCCTGAGTAGCTGGGACTACAAGCACCTACCACTACACCCGGCTAATTTTTGGCATATTTAGTAGAGATGGGGTTTCACCATGCTGGCCAAGCTGTTCTCAAACTTGTGACCTGGTGATCCCCTCGCCTCAGCCTCCCAAAGTGCTGGGATTACAGGCCTGAGCCACCACGCCTGCCCGGCCGGCATTTGAGTGGAGGTCTTGGTTTTCTGAAAGCTGGGGGAAGAAGGTGGGCTCCATGCAGGAGTGAGCTGGGAGCCACCTGGGGCTGGACTTTCCGCTGGGCTGCTCTGGCAGGTGGTGAGATGCCCCTGAGGGGCCTGCCTGAGGGCGTGGCCTTGAGGGGCGTGGGCGTCGCCAGTTGGTGGGTGTGGACTGAGGGACCCACGGGCGCAGGGATGAGGCCAGGGGTGCAGTCGGGGTGGGGGGGGCGGGGGCGGCGGAGGACGTGGGCGAGGATTCAAGGGTCTTTGGCCTGGTGTGAGGGTCACCGGGCGTGGGCGCAGAGTCTTGGACGCCGTCCAGAGGTCTCAGAGGTGTGGGACGTCATGGGGCTGGATGAGCGGTGGTGGGTGGGGAGGGCTCAGGGCGCGACTACAGGTGGAGGAAGGCGCTGTCGGGGTGGAGAGTCCCAGCGCACCCAGGGGGCGGGGGCAATTGGGCAGAGGGAGGCGCGGCTAGATGCGGGGCCGACGCCAGCGGTCTCAGCACCCGTCTCTACCCAGGGCTGCAGAGGGAACCCCAAGTGCTTCGTGCCACTGGGCTGGCGGAGCTGCAGCCCGCGGACCCCGTGAGCCAGGACCCACGCGGAAACCAGGACCACGGACCGGAGCCAGGCGCGTGTCCGTGGAAACCTGCGCGGAGCTGAGGCCGAGAACACCGCGCTGTTGCAGAGAACCCGCGTCTTCGCCGGTTTTCCTGGGTGCCCTGCACCCGGCATCCCCCCGCCCGCCCCGGCCCCTCCAAGCCACCCTGGGAAAGGCACCAGCCCGGGGGTCCCAGGCGGACGCTGGTTCGTTCGTCCCGCATTTGTACAAGTCTTGGTGCCGCCCAGGCTCTCCCACTCACGTTTCCTCCCATGTGGTGCCCAGCGCGGGCGCTGAGGGAGACCCCAGGGCTGGACCGTGCGATCCCTTTGCAGTTGGGCTTCTTGGCACACGGGAGTCAGTGGGCCGTGTGGCCGTGCTGCCCTGGAGACCCAGACATGGAAAGACTCCCCCTGCCACCCCAGGCCTCGTCCAGGAGGTGGTTGGGGCCTGTCTGTGATCCAGTGGCCTGGCTCTTCATGGATACTGAGCGGGGCCAATCCCGCAGCCCTCAGAGCCAGAGACAGGGCCCCCGTCCTGGGGTTGGAGAGGGTGGCCGGGCCAGGGCAAGGGCCTGGCTTCGCCATCCTTCCTGGGCCTTGGGACCGGCACCAGCCATCCCCATGGGCCATCCCCACACGAGGTCACTTGCTACTGGCTGCCTGCAGCCCCTGCCTGCATCATGGTGCTGGGAGGACGCCTTCAGGCAACTGCGTGTCATGGTGGGGGCCTGTCCCAGTGAGGCCTGGAGACAGAGAGATTCGGGTGTGAGGGGCTCGGGGTGGGAGGGACATTGTCCTTTCTCAAGGATCCTGCTGGCCGTGCCCATGGACGTCACCTAGGACACCTGCCATGGCTCAGCAGCCCCCCAGTATAAGGAGGGTTGGACACCAGGCTGACAGGCGAGGCCCAGCTGCAGTATCTGTCTTACAGCCCAGTCAGCATGGAACAGTGGGTGACAGAGACCGTCCTGGGCCACCCCCAAACATACTTGCCTGCTGACCACGCTGTGGTGTGGAGGCCAGCACCGGGCACTCTGCAAGGCACCATGGCCACAGGCATACTGTGGGTGGGGGGTGCTCAGCCTCATGGACTCTGCCCAGCAATGACTGCATAAGTTCCAGCCCATGGAGGTGGGAGCAGGGCCAACGTGCTGGCCCAGGAGGCAGGGAGCTGGGCAGTGGGAGGAGGCAGAAAGGAGGGGGGAGTTCATAGCCATGGCAGGCCCCTGCCGCCTTCCCTCCCCTGGGACCCAGCCCCAGAGCTTGCTTCCCAAGCTCCCTCCTGATGCTCCTTGAGCCCACGGTGTGAGGCCCATGGTCTCTCCCAGTCTGGGGGTCCTGTGGGTATTCCAGGCAGAACACCTCAGCTATACACTCCCTCCATCCCCCACCATACACACATACATGCATGTGCACACACACATACAAACACACATGTGCACGCGCGCACATGCACACACACACACACACACACACACATGTGGGGCAGTGCCCTCCCAGGAACAGAGGCATGAGCTTCTGTGTTGCCGAGACATACAGATTGGGCTGGACACAGGGACTCTGGGTCTGTCCAGGAAGAGAAGAGCCAGGTCGCGCAGAACCACACCCTGGTTCTCTCCAACCCCCTGCCCTGGCTGGAGGCAAATGGGAAGCAGTGAGCTTCTGTCGCCCAGAACCACACCCTGGTTCTCTCCAACCCCTTGCCCTGGCTGGAGGCAAATGGGAAGCAGTAAGCTTCTGCCCAAAAACTTTCCTACACATTGGATGCTCCAGATAAGAAGAGGGCTCAGAACAGCTGCCTGAGCAGAAGCCAAGTCCCTGAGTTCCCAGCCTTGGGGGCTGCCCTCTGGAGTGGGGGACCTCACAGTGAGGACTGAACGGGGTGGGGGTGGCCTCTTGAATCTGGAGGGGAGGCGAGGGCTGAGGACTTGGAGTGGAGTCTTAGGTCCCAGGAGAGGGCTGTCCCTTAGAGGCCGGGGCTGAAGCCAGGGGCTCTGGGGTACCAGTGCCCGAGACAGATTCTGCCCCCCTTTGCCAGCCCAGCCAGCTTTCCATGGCCCTTGTCTACTGTCCCAGCCTCACGAACGCCTGAAGGGGGTGCACACAGGTGATGCCTTGATCCCCCTGGCCTGGAGCTATCTCTGCTCCAGTGGCCGCCCTGTGGGGAACCCCATTAGGGTGTTCTGAGACTCCAAAGACCTCAATGTTTCTGGATGCTTCCTTTGGAAACCTAGAAACTCCACAAGCGTCTGGCCACAGTCTCACGGCCCTGGGTGGTGGCAAGTCTCCAGGCTGCTGTCCGTAAAGGGAGCCCTGTTTTGCCAGGAGGGAGCGTGTCCGCTTGCTCCTGCTGTGAAGAGCGGCCTTCTCTCCTCTGTTCGTCTTTGGGGCTGGAGCTGCAGGGTCGGCCAGGAGCCGCTGCCACAGGGCACCCTGCAAACTTGCCCCACTCATGTCCACAGTCTCCAGTGAGAGCTGTCAATGCACAGCCAGATGCTGGCTGGGCAAGTACTTGCGTTCCTCGGCCTGACCTGGGGCACCTTCCAGAGCCTGGCCATCCCCAGGATTGAGGAATGTGGCCTCTCCTCTTCTCAGGTAAGCTCCCGCCTCCTCCTAGGCCCCTACACTGTGGCAGATGAGGCCCTGGTTTCTCCTCAGGTGGATATAGCCTGATGATCTCAGCACATGGACAGGGACAGGTGAGGGTTTGGA